GTTCTAGTATAATAATGGAAGCGAAATGGCCGCGCGTCGCTAAAGGAGGAGAAAACGCTTGCGATGGAACGCACGAGCAAAGGATCCTAAGCAAGTTAATGTCTCTAATTATAACCGGTTATAAAATTATACCCTTCGCACCGGGTAGAGGAATGACCGAACGCGTTCTGGTCAGATCATAAATTTTCTCTAAAAACGAAGAGGGAAACGGAGAAGGGAGAGAGAACCAGCACCATCGCCGACAGAATTTCAAGTACATTTTGCACCGAGCGCGAACATATTATCAGTCTTTAAATCTCTCCAGAGCGATCCGTCTGACATAAATCAATTCGCGAATTTTCGTCGCGGTTCCTCCTCGAAACACACGTCCTTGAAAAACGTTGCGCGAATACCGAGCGTCAACAGTAAACATTGCGCAAATTACGAAAGAGGCAGCGCTGACACAGTCTTGGAAGAAAAGTAAGCCTTATATTTCTGAGCGTAATATAATTTTGCAATGTTGCTGCAAATTGCGGTGAAAGTAGGTTTAAAAAATGTTTACTGGTAAATTGTATATTTGAGGAAATCTTAACATTTTTGTCTCGGATTATATCTAATATGAAGTTTTAATTGTGTGTATTCTATTTTATTTCGATATTAAATGTGTCTTGCTTATCAACTCTATATAATCTAATTTTTAATCAAAATTTACTTCTAAAAGTTGCTTTATTTTTAATCAGTCGTATAAATTTATTCTTTCCGTTTAATAAATTAATAAATTATGAATAAGTTCTTTTCACTAATATTTTCTCATACATACGTGATATTTTCGAAAACGATTTATTGCGAAATCGCAAAGGGTAAATAAATATACTACGAATTGGTACATAATTTCGCAGCCATAGGGTGGATCGAACAAACTGTCGAGAGAGCAATTTAATCTTAATTAAATCTCCCACGGTTATCTAACGTTGCGTGTACGCCGAGTATCCTGAATCTTCTTAGAAAATTGCATCCTATTGCAATCTATTCTTCGCGGCGATCCTGGCAAGGCACGCGAGTAAATACTGCGGCGGTAGTCCTGATAAGGCTCACATCGACTGTATCTTATAATATAAATCCTGTTATCGAAAGCCGTGAAAGAAAACCACGTGTTGCACTTGCAGCTTGAAATGTAACGTTTTCTCTATCCGAGATAAATTATATTCCCCCACATTTATACAATCATCTCTTGATACTTACTACTACGCGTTATTAATTAAAATCTATAAAATCTATAAAAAGCTTTATTGATTTTCTAATAAAATTATTCTTGGAATTGAAAGGATTCCAAAGTAAAAAGCAAAAAATATATACGATAACCAAAGATTAAATAAATATATAATATATAAAATATTGCATCCCACAATTTTTAATGTTTCTAAAGTATAATAAAGACATTTTAATTCTATAAAATTAACTTCACACTTTTATTAAAAAAAAAAAAAAGCAATCACGGAACATAATTGTTAAATTCCGCGAACGAACCGGGTCTCTTATAAATCGGACCGGGTTGCACACAATTAGTATTGCGTGATTCATTAGGTATTACCTCTTACGAGTTGTAAATAACACTAAGAAATCGTAAACTATGCAGTCGTTAAATAAACGCCCGCAGCCGGCGAACAGTTATCCGTAGGCCATGTTCACACGAGGTCCCTCCTTTTCACAGCAACCTCGACACGTACATACTATTCGCATCAAGGTTGGAAAAGGGATTTTACACGGTGCCCGATGCCAGAAACGTTTTCCACGCGCATCCCTCCAGTGCATGCATTTGCATTCGCCGTACTATGCATTGTCGCACGTTGAAGAACGATCCGCCATCGATTCGCAGAAACTTATTCGCTCTCGGCGATCTTTCAGGAATACTAAATTTCTAGTTTAGTAAAATACTAATTTTCCTTCTATTTCAGTTATTTCAATGTTTAACAAAATAATTCAAGTATATATAAGAAAATCAATAATCGTAATCTAATAATTTAATGCGAAAAATCATTCATTAAGAAGAACATTCTTTAAATTTATCAAACGATCTATTACGAAAATATTTCCATCACCATGCACATATATTTTAAAATAATGAACATTTAATTCATTGTCAGTGAAACTTGGTCGCGTAGAGATTAATCAGATTATTATTAATACATCGTGCATTGAATTCAATGAGTTATAAAGAAGCTGTTCTTTCTCACCATCTCAGTTGCTTTCTCTTTAATAAATATCAATCGCGTCTAAAAAGCTGTAACGCGTGCGAAAACGTCTAAACCGTCATTTGTCGTTTCAGGGAGGTCACAGTCCATTAATTCGAAGTGACAGCCTCGATATTTTCCTAACGCCACGGCGCGTCAAAGCGTGCTAAAACGAGTGTGCTATTTCCACCTCTTTCCTCTCTTTCTCCCTCTTCAATTTGCAACTATTTAACGTGCTGCGAAAGAGTTACATACACCTGCATGGCTGATTGCCAACCGATAATTATCCCACTACACTCCACGCATTCTTATTTAATTAGTGCGTACGCTCGAACCTATTACATTCGTCATGCAGAAGCCTCACTTACGATTCTAATGAAAATAATTGAAGGGTTACATGAAAAACGCTCTGTCCATCATTCTTTTCTAGAACAAGTATTTTGCTCGATTTTCTTCTCTCTTTATAAATTATACGCGTAAACTAAATCATGCAATTATTTAAAAAATATTAAGAAAAATATCTATATTCTTTTCTATAATAAAATTTATCAAACGATCTATTACGAAAATATTTCCATCACCATGCACATATATTTTAAAATAATGAACATTTAATTCATTGTCAGTGAAACTTGGTCGCGTAGAGATTAATCAGATTATTATTAATACATCGTGTGCATTGAATTCAATGAGTTATAAAGAAGCTGTTCTTTCTCACCATCTCAGTTGCTTTCTCTTTAATAAATATCAATCGCGTCTAAAAAGCTGTAACGCGTGCGAAAACGTCTAAACCGTCATTTGTCGTTTCAGGGAGGTCACAGTCCATTAATTCGAAGTGACAGCCTCGATATTTTCCTAACGCCACGGCGCGTCAAAGCGTGCTAAAACGTCATTGACGATGATCTAACGCGAAACGCAATCATCGCGGAAAAAAGTCCGACATGCAGGCCGTGTCAAAATTTATTTGTTGCACTTATATCACGTTCGGCTGTGCCAATAGAAAGCGCGATCGCGCGAATAATTTGTACTCACAAAGGAGACCCTCAGGGTGAGGGGGTTCATCAAGCTTCGCCGTCGACACGCGCCTGCGACGACGTGCTTCCGCCTTTCTAAGTGCATGCAAATTAATCTATTTGAGATTGAGGCGACAGATGCGGCTCAACAATGAGCGCCGCGCATTCTTAAACGCCATGGGAAACCGACCCGACTCTATTATCGGACTGAATTTAATTGCGACACTATACACGCATCGCAAACGCGGAATGAATCATAGGTAGACTTTGAAAACTATGCGGCGACACGAGTGAAATCAGTTAATTATTATTTAATTCGAATAATAAGATTAAAAGTAAAAAATGCATAAATGCATTTACCAATAAATCTATGTGAAAATATAATGGAAATACATATATAAAAAAGAAAAATATTAAAAATTAATTTTATACAAAACACATATATATATATATATATATATATATATATATAACTACGTGATGTCACATAATTAAATTGTAATATAATTAAGCAAAAAATCAATATAACAAATCCTTGATATCTTTTGTGAAAATACGCTCTATATATATACATTGATAATCATCATAAATATAAGCCATTTTTAATGTAAATGTAATTATTTTTAACGTAAATAAATAGAATTAATAGAGGCTTGTTCTTTCAGAAATATTTGACGAATTTTGCAATCTTCGCGATTTACAGAGAATTCTATGGAGTATTTTGCCGCGATGTGATGGAAGATGAGAGAGCGTACTTTCACAGAAGCAAGCGAGTGCAAAGGTCGTTCTTCATCGGCAAAGCCGAGACGAGTAACAAAGTTCAGGCATTCACCGTCATTGCAATAATCGCCAGAGAGTGCGGTCCTCATGCGAGAATGAAAGAGAGAAAAGTCGATAGATAAGGATGCAATGACAGTGAAATGTCTTGACTATGCTCCTCTCTCTTTCCTATCCCCCCCTTCTATATTATTATATTTTTATATATATGCATTTTTTTATAAAACGTGTACCGTAAAAAAGATATAATCAACTATACGACGCATTATCGCACGTTGAAGAACGATCTGCCATCGATTCGCGGAAAGTTATTCGCTCTCGGCGATCTTTCAGAAATACTAAATTTTCTCTCTATTTCAGTTACATCAATTTTTAACAAAATAACTCAAATATATATAAGAAGATCAACAACCGTAATCTAATAATTTAAACGAAAAATTATTAGGAATAACATTCTTATATTTTTATTACTCTGATGTAAAAATGATAAAAAATAAAATAATAAATAAATATATAATTCTTCTGTACAAACATAATATTGCGTTGTTTTATTACCAATTTAATATTTATTTACTTTACAATTGTATATTTAATTTAACTACTTTGCATAGTTTAAATTTTTAATATGTTTTGCTCCTTTTATTGATTTTCCGATATATTTAATATCCAGTGTCATAAATAAATTTTTATTTAATTTATTAATATTTTTTAATTATTAGACACATCAAAATCTAACATAATACTGCTGTATTAAATTATTATGTGGGTGATTAAAAGATGAATACATAAACGCTCACAAAATTAAATTAAGAATCAATTATTATAATAAAGACTGTCTTCGTGTTTTTATTTTTCCTATTTTTAAATTTTTTTATATCACCCTTAAATCAAAATATTATTTTTTTATAGAAATAATTGAAGCTTGATAAAATGTTTCAATGATGATCAACCGAGAGCGAATTGAAAAAACGAAACAAAATACCAAATCTCATCGACTAACCTGTATCAAGACGCGGCCGCTCGTTAGACGCCGAAAGGGATTCCAGGTCGTCCTCCAAGGTCGCGTCATCCTCGGCGCGCGCCAACACCACCAGCACCGCGGAAGTCAGTAGCAACGACGTCAGTAACACTGTCCTCACCGATGTCCAGCCGATGAGCGTCATTTTTCAACACAAACACTTTTCCGCACTCGAGCCCGGTCGTCGCACCGCGGTCACCGCGTGTCGTATCGCGATCACATTTTTTTTCGATTTCACGAGTCAGATATATCCAATTACAATAGACGCGTGTACTTTATCCGAAAAACTCGCGACCGGACGCGGGCGCACTCCCGGACGAAATGACTTCGAAAGGATGACGACTTCGAAACGCGAACGTCGATGTCGTTCGGCGTCGGTGCTCCATGTGAACTTCGCCGCCGGTCGAATGAAAGATGATCGCGTACGCGTTACTTGTAATCGGCACTGTTATATTTCGAACGCGCGAACGACAGTGACGAGGGCAGGAAGGGTTGACGGGAAGGGAGGGGAATTGCCGTCGCTGTCAACCGGTAGCTCGTGCTACTTGTTTTGAGAGAAGTGTGCACCCACCGCACCAGTCCATGCCGCACTGCTACGCCGCCGTCAGGTGTTTGAAGCCAGCCGCCGCCGCGCGATCAAACCGCGACATCTTTCGGGCGCTCGCCGAAATAACCACGCGCGCGGTCGACTGTCACGTGAGCCGCGCACTCACTACGCTCACCTCCTACTCCTTTACCGCCGGGCGACACGTGATCCTCTACCACCGATTCATTCATGGAGACACACGCTTTTCACCCGGCTCCCCTCCCCACTCATATATGCGTCTGCCCCGCGTCGTCCGATCATCACATACCGATACATCGTGTTATTGTTTTGGTATGTGACGCGTGAATGACTTCGAAATATATACAAAGAATTAGACGGAAATAAAATATATATTCGATAAATGTAAAGATATTTATGAGATCTCGATATATGCGGGATGAAAGATTAATTTTATTTCCAGTACAATCTTTAATCATGACGTAGCTATATGTCGATCGTAATCATATTCGCGTTTAACATATAATGCATAAAAATTATAAGTCGAAAAAGGACTAGGAGATACAGTAAAAAAAATAATTTACGTTCGATGTAATGAATCGAGAAAATAGATTTAAAAATTTTGCTTTAGAGTCGAATCGAAACTTGCTTCAGAAATCAGGCCGCGTTATCTCGATTGATATGACTTATTAAAATGTGATGCTCTAAAAAATGCGGGACCGCCATATCGCAAGCTGCTGCCAATTTCGCTTCATTACTAATATTTTAATATTTTCATAGTTGTAATATTTGTATGAATAATAATAAAGATAACATGTATCATATCATAGATCATGGCGCGCACGTTATATCATTAGATAAGTCAAATAATTAAAAATTGAAAACTAATTTTGAGTCTTAATCAATATATTGAAAACGTGAGAATTTACCTTTTCGCGTTTCTTCGACGCGGTGGCGAACGGGATTCGCAGCAACCTCGATGCATCTCTCTCGGCGCGGGAGACTTGCAAGCATGTACCTGCCTGGTATTTAATTAAGCCCTGTCGTTCGGGAGAAAAAAGCCGTTGATGCAGGAAGCGCGGTGGGTTTGGATTACGCGAGCAGCGAACCGTACTTCGAACTCCGTTACGTGGGACAACGTAATGTAACTACAGGTCGATCGGCGCCCTATCTCGATCGATACGACTTGAAGGATGGTGCTCTATAAATGCGGGACCGCCATATTGCAAACTGCTGCCAATTTCGCTTTATTACTAATATTTTTATATTCTCATATTTGTATGAATAATAATAATAAAGATAGCACATTATATGGTAGATCATGACGCACGTTATATTAGATAAGACAAATAATTAAAAATAGAAAACTAGTTCTGAGTCTTAATCAATATGTTAAAAACGTGAGAATTTACCTTTTTGCGTCTCTTCGACGCGGCGGCGAACGGGATTCGCAGCAACCTCGACGCATCTCTCGGCGCGAGAGATTTGCAAGCATGTACCTGTCTGGCATTTAATTAAGCCCGGTCGTTCGGGAGAAAAAAGCCGTTGGTACAGGAAGCGCGATGGGTTTGGATTACGCGAGCAGCGAACCGTACTTCGAACTCCGTTACGCGGGACAACGTAATGACGTAGCTATGGATCGATCTCAATCGATACGACTTGAAGCGCGGTGCTTTAAAAAAGGCGGGACAGCCATGTTGCGGGTTGCTGCCAATTTCGCTTTGCTACTAATTTTTAAATATTTTCGCAATTGACCGTTGATGGTAATTAATTGTTTTACTCCAAGATGAAGTGAGATAACTGAGGATAAATGAAATTAAATGTCTTTATATAGTTTTATGATAATAAAATATGCGTCTCTCTCCCGCGATATTCTCGAAGTATACCGTGGACTATACAAACCTGAAAAATCCTCGACACGCATCATAAACGTAATGAACGGATTGGTATATCTCGTCCGTCTTATCGGCTTTCCTTTCTTCCTCTTCCCTTCTCGTTCTCTCTGCCTTCGTCTTCTCCGTCGACCGGGCAAGTGGTCTGCGGTTTTTCATCCCGAGGAAGAAACGCGCGGTCGATGCACCTGGAATCGCGGATCGATCGACTATGCGCGTGATATTTGTCACGAATCGCCCTCATTCGAATTATGGTGAATCCGCAGCGGGGGTCGTCAATCTTTGGTGATTTTTGTGCGGATTCGTCATTACGCGAGAACATATTTTTAACAATGATTTACGTCCTAGATTGATTTATAAACCTTGACTAAATTACTTCTCTTTCCTTTGCCCCAAAATAAATTATTTATATTATTATTGGTTATTATAATGTTAAAAAATGATAGATACAAATATATAATATAAAAAAAATAATATATGGTATTAAGAAATAAAGGAAATATGCACTTATATATAAATAACAAATAGATATAATATAAAAAGAATGTAATATAATATAAACGAATATAATATTTAAAAAATGATATATGATGTTGAGAAATAAAAGAAATATGTACTTTAATTTATAAATTAACTTCTAATCGATGGAACATTTAATTTTTTATACTTGACTAAATACTTAGAAAAGTATTTATTATCTTTTATCACACCCTTTGGAAAATATTTTTTAACAATGACTTTTTTAACTCTGACACATATATGCTCATCAAAATTCTTTTATTTTTTATTTATATCAACGAAAATAGCATTATTATTATACATATTTATTTGTTTACGAGTGTGTTTTTATCCTATTTATCTTTCCGTAATTTTATCAAAAAAATATATCCTATATAAATAAATACGTATAAATATATATGTAAGTTTCCTATTCTTGTTTTATTTGGCTATAGAAATGGCTTGTAAAAACGACAGCCGCATTCTAATTTCAACATCTTTAATAAGATACAGCGCTACCGAGAATCAGGGACGTTAATCTAATAGCTTACCGTTAGAATGACGATCTCTTAATTCCGTCGCGAATACGTTTTCGTAGTTTATGCAAAGCCTCTCGAAAAGAGGTACATCGTGTGATCGTCGAATACTCGTAAATATATTCGGCGGCATGTTTCGCGCCACGCCAGTCCGAAGAAAACAACATCGTCTGTGTTACGCGTCTTCTTCTGCTTCGCCGGCTGATCTGTGACAGCGTAGGGCTCGTACATATTCAAGATATCGCACGAGAGAATCTGCCGTAATATCTAAACGCATGTACAAAACGCACACGAGTGAGACTCCCGCAGCTACGGGACACGCAAATACTCGTAAATTACGACTAGAGTTCTTTATCCGCGCTTAGTTAAGTATTCTTTCAGGATGTCAATTCGGTTAAATTCGAGCGGCTTGAAAACTCTTAATTATTTAAAATCGATCGGATAGTCCTGATTGATACGATTTCGTCGCAAAAAATTGAAAATTTGTTTTGCGTCCGTTTTAAAATAGTTTCACAAACACAGTTTGTCTAGATTGCCTGTGTTTGATCCTCCTTTCTGCTCTGACTTCCTTTCTTTTTTCCGAACACGACACCGAAGAATGGATTCTCACGAAAGCCGGTTTTACTGGTTTTTTAATTAGATTCAGAGAGAGAGAGAGAGAGAGAGAGAGAGACAGTTATCTTGACAGTTGGCATGAGGATTTGGCACTTTCATCGATTGTCGTCACCGCATTACTTTCACGATTACAGATTCACTTGTCGATTCAGAGATTAGATCCTGAAACAGGATCTGTCATCAGAACGCTATGTTAATGATCACACATAAAAAATCGATTGATAAGAAAACGAATATCAAAATCACAGAACAATTTCTTTTCGCGCTTCCTATCCTTTCTCTTATCGTGATATATGAAACGAACCGTCAATGATCATCCGGTGGAAGCTCGGTCGTCGAAGGAAGCTTCGCATTTCCGTCGCCGATTCGCCTTCCATGAATAAATGGAAGGACATTAGCGGCTCTCACATATTACCGGTTACCGCGCTTTCTCGTCCGGAGAGGACGAAATTTATTGCATCAAATTGGTTACAAAATATGCCATAAGTCTCCCTCGATTTACGACCATACCGGCGACGTCGACGGTGCAAGTCCTCCGTACATGGGGTGTTCCAGATTCACCGTCTTCTCTTCTGACTAGAAAATATATTAGGAGTAATAGCGCATGATTAATAATATCAGACATCGATAGCTACTTAGTTATAAGCGCAGTTAAAACTTAAAATAAGAACTAATAAAATATTGTTTCTTAATCTCAAATACGAAATAATCGAATATATTACATTTTATTCGATTAATTTTAATTTTGCGTGTAATTAAAAAATTTAAGATTGCATAAAAAAGAAATCTCAAGAAAGATTATTACGATTGTTAAGATTGTCGCAAAGGATAAATAAATTTCGTATTCATCCAGGGAGAGAAGGACTGGAGCACACCTGGGCCACTCTGTAGATATGCACTGAATATATGAGGGCGCATCGAGACGCATCTAAATATTCATACGCGATGCATCATGCGTTGTGTGCTGCGCAGCATGCAAAGATATGAAAATTTAACGCAACAAACATTTATTCCCGCGACGGGAGGGGGCTTAATTATAAAATCGAGTTTGCTGGAATATCGCAGAGAGGTGGAATAAATTTAAAATACATGAGGCATTAATTAGAGCGCTATCTCCGCAACAAGTATTTTCGTGTTTCGCATTTAAGATTAAAAGGAGCCCTTAGAGAAAAGAATCATGGGAAACACCATTATGCATCATGTGTGTGGTCGAATCTAAAACATAAAGGAATCTAAAAAATACAGGATTCTCTTGCATTATATTTTGATAAAGTTATAAAATTATTCGAAACTGTTTATATAAATGAAGGAAAAAGAAATGTTAGATGTTCTGGCAAACAAATTCCACGCCGACGTTAACACATCTATCCAAGAAATTGCTGGACTTCTATGGCTGAAAGAAATGCATACGCAATGTGCATTTTACAACGCGATCGAGATCAGGCGTTGGAAAAAGACCATTTCTTGGGGTTCCGCAACAGAATTTTATAGCGGCATCCTCCAGTATTCTCCGCACGCAATATCTCACCGATACGATCTGGCGCACATTGTGCGTGCGTAGAAAAGTTCTCTTAAGCGTGCACGGCATTGTTTCACTCGCCTCGCCTGATTTTATATACGCGAAAAGCTATGATTTACGCAGCGGCGCGTTTAGAATGCCACATTTTTAAGGATCGCCAAGAGTCAAAGCTTGCTTCTCATGCCAATGTTTATATGCAGACCGAGTAACATTTTTTAAAAGTTTTTTACATATGTTCGTATTTGAAGTTTAATTTCAAAGAAAAGATAAAGATATTCTCTGTGTATTAATAAAATATTACATATTAAAAGTAAGCGTATTATAATAAATTGATATACCTGTATTATATGTAAAGAGAGATATTATTTCGAACAAGGAATGAAGTGATGACCTTTATTGAGTATTACTTAATTCGTAAACGACCAAGCGCGCGTTTTGCAGCAGAGGAAGTCTTCAATTACTCGAGGATCTTTGTCGAACCCGTAATTTCCTGTGACTTGGAAATGCGATTCCGCAAGGCCATATCGATATTTAGCAATGATATTACCAAAGACCGTCCTCCCCATGATCCTCAGAATCGTAGAAAAATATCGGTTACCTCTTCTTGTTCAATTATAGCGCTTAATTATGGTTATTTTTTCTCGCCGTCGTGTGCGAAACGTCTTCCTGTATTGCGTTCACTCGATGCGCAAGTCCCTCTAATGCAATTTAATAAAAGTGTAACATATAGCAAACTTGTAATTCCACGTTCCACATATTGTTGGCGATCTTTCAAAATCTAACGTCAATCCTTTTCGTATTCTTTCGTAATGCAGTATTACGCATAATAATCGAAGAGACAAAGTCTTATAAAAGAAAAGATTATCTATTTTTCACGCAATTAAAAATCACCAAATGGATACTATTTCCGATTATATTAATGGTTTTGTAATATATTATACTGTCTAAAACATAAATATTGCATATTTGTTATCATATAAAAAATATTTGTTATATATATTCGTTCATATTATATATAAAATAAAAATAAAATAATATTCCAAAAGAACTTTTATCATCTAAAGAAAAAAAGAAAGTTATAATTGAATGTAATATTTTTATAATTTTTTAATAAAAAAAAGTAAAAGGCATTTATCTAGAAACAAAAACAGCGCTGAATATATGAATAATATCACTTACAAAAAATTTAACAAAATTATTTTTCATGTAGAATTTTGATTAGATGGAAATAGAGAATAAATTAAATTATTACCTTAATTAATTCGCCAATTCGATACAAATGCGCTTAAGCAATACGCCGCCTAAAGCCCAACAGATATACCTGCCGCGATCTCACGCAAAACAGGTATTGCAAATGTTACCGATGCCTAGTGAATGTTGAGAAACGCCATTTGAATAATATCCTTAGCAATAATTACTTTGATCACGAAGAAGAAAGTATTGTTTCCAATAAATCGTTACATTCATTGAATCGGTTAATCCTTTTGCCTAGATGTCACTCCGCAATTGCGCTTCTGCACAAAGTGGTTGATACTCGAACATTAAATAACGACAATAGGAAGCTTTATAAATGGAACAGTTTTATAAAATACAGCAGTTTAATAAAATAAATTTAATAATTTAAGCACGTTTCCTCTCTAAATAATGTAATGTAATCTCTGTAAATAATTCGTCATAACAAAAAATAAATTAATTTTATAACATAAAATAAACTTAGAAAAAATATAACTTCATAAAAAACATAATATATCTATATTCTCTTTGTTCAACAACGTATTATTACTTAAATAATAATCAATCAGTTTGAACTAATAATCAGTTCAATGCACAGACTATATTACAGTATATGGCAATGGCAAGCAAAACATCCAGTAGGTACGTAAGTTTGCATAAATGGATGTGGTGGCTGCGCTGGGTCCAGGTTCAAAGAGTCTTCGCTTTCATCACTTAACTCCCCGATGCTGAATGTATCTGTGAGATCTTGTTTGTGCTTTGAGGAATCCTTTGATTTCGCAGGAAAAAGAGTCAATTCATCCTCACTATAATCGTACGTCAAATAGAATGCATTAATTAAATTTTATTACATATTCTTCACATGTTTATATAATGTTCTTTATGTTATATAATCAAACTATATTTATTATAATATTTTATTAATGGAGAAACATATATATATGATAATGGAGAATTAATTGTTAAATATAATAATATGTGTCAATGTCATCTGATAATTCTTTGTGTACATGATTATTTAATACCTTTCGCTTTCACTATGCCAGTATTCAACTAGAGGAAGATGCTCCTTATTCTTATGCGGTATAGGCAATCTTTGGATTGATATCAATCCAGTAGAACTGGTACTACTTATATTTTCATTGTCATATTTTGGAAGCTTTATATAATCTGAATTACGTTGAATTCGCTTTGCCTGTTCAATGCGCGTCTCTGCAGAAAAAAACATTACTTATGTAAATATATATATAATTACGAAACAACAAAGATTATATAAATTACGTTAATTAATACAAGAAGTCTTGCAATAAAATATGTAGAACTAGAAGATTGTTTCAGTACCAAGTTTTTTTTGTAACTGTTTGGTTGTATTCCGCTGAGAAGCCTGCGTGTGGTTACTACTGCAACTGCTATCACTGCCCTATAAGAGATTAAAACATTCTTGCACCACTGAATGTTTTATTCCGCACATATCATTATTTACATATAAATATTATATTCATATATCCCATATGATGTAAGACTAATAATGAACATCAGTCAATATGTTTATCGAGATGAAAATTTACCAAAAAGAGTCTTTCGTCTTCCACATGGTTAACAGCTTTAGGATCACTATCAATACCGCTATCTTCCATACTTTAAGGCATTTATAAAGAAAATTGGCTTCTTAACTCATCTAAAATAGAAAGAAACCTTGACATTATTAATTTTGCCTTTCCACTGACCAAGCATGAAAGGATTATGTAAAAATTGATACCGCACAATATGTAGACATGTATTGCAACTAGTAACACTATTATAATTATAGTAAATCTTGATATTTAAATATCAATATGTGTAGAGGTTGTGTAAATACTCATCCACACAGAATTTCATATATATTACTTTGGAATTTACAAAATCTAATAATACATATCATTTGTTGTTATGAGAATTGAATAAAACAATATGTTTTATATATTTCAACCAATAATATCTGCACGATTCTATACAATAATTGCCCTGCAACTTGTTGGAATGCTCACATTATCATGGTATAGTCCATTATTGATTTTCTCTGTGCCAAATATCCAAAGAGATATAACCGTGTTTGTCTCGGCGGTATAAAGAAAAAGCAATGACAATGATTAAAATATCATGTTCAAAAAGATTATGTAAATTTTAAACATTTTATACATCCTCAACAAGTTTACAAACCATATGATTTTCACATATTTACTCTCTTATATGTAACAGAATAAAAACATTAAATAAACTGTAAAGTAACTGTAAATTTAATCATACTTTTAATAAAATAAAGATTATATTTAAACATATATTAAAATGTGGAAATATATTGCTTTAAACTAGTATTATGCACACTCTACAGACTGACATCTGACATCAAAATCAAAAATCAAACGTATCCTAGGAAACCGTAACAGACTTTTCAGTATTGAATGATACGTAGACAAAGGATATTTGGAGTTTTTATCTGTTATACCCTTTATACACTATCGTATTATATTTTTACAAATCATTGAAGGATAATATTGTGTTGAGCTATAAAATAGATTTGAGCATCAGATCATTGTGCACATTGCAAGATTAAGTTTTTACTTTCTCTTATCACTAAATAGTAAGTCATACTGCACAGATATCAGAAAGAGAATATACATATTGAATATGGTATCTCCTTAATAACAGTACATGAAGGAGTGATTTATCAGCTGATTATTCGCTACACTGTTGCACAATTACGTTGATATAATTTTACAACACACAAAGGAAACAATGGCACCAACAATACCAAAAAAGATATCCTCCAAAGTGTTGGAGATAAGTAAAGAGGTACATATCTTTTGTCATCATGATAAAATAAATAAAAAATAAATCTCGTATCTTATTAGAATAAGATCATATATATATATAAATTTTATTTTATATATAGAGTTATATTTACAAAATCACATTTGATCATTTTAGCAGCCTATAAGTTTAGGAAGAAGTATGTACATATCACGACAGGACTTGGGTGCTGGTGATATGGACTGGATGCGAGGAAAGATTTTGCTAAAACCAGATGATCAACTGCAATTAACAGAAGCTGTATGTTTTATTCCTTTGCTTATCTCTTTTAAATGTTATTGAATGTTTCTATATCTGTATATAATATAGGAATTACAAGAGGAATTCGCCAAGATATTAACTATACACAATACAAGGGTACCAGACTCCTTAGTTGAATGGTCATGGAAATTACGTGAATTTGTAAAATTATCTCCTCCACCGCATTTATTAACTCTACTGAATGTAACCGGCACTATACTACACAAAGACTCTGAAGAGGCCAAAGTGCAATTGGCAGGAGGAATTATTGGTATGATTCTTCGTTTACTGACGTAATAATCAATGTACTAAATAAAATAATCTCGTTATATAGCTGATGGTCAAGAGGAAGCAGCAGATGAGGAACTGAAGCATGATGAAGCTGAAGAAGAACCAGAATATAAAGAAGAGGAAGAAGGTAGACACAGAAGAGATATCATTGGCAACTATAAATAGTTATTTAATAAATTACGTATGACTCTTGTGTATTTTTTAAACATATATATATATTACACAAGAACAGCAGAGGAAATCGACAAAACGGTGGAAGCGGTAGCCGAAGCTGAACGCGAAATGGAAGCTGAGCCAGAACCTGAGGAGGATGAAATAGAAAAACCAAAGCCTAAGAAAATACCTAATCAATTCAATTTCTGTGAGAGAGCAGCATTGACATATGATAATCCTATGAGGGTATGTACATTATATCTCCTATTTGTACGAAACAGCAATGTAGATATTATAAACTCTGTTTCTCTGGAAAGTAAAAGTATTGGAAATGATATATACAGAATAAAATCAAATATTTTGCAGGATATAAGCACACAAACTATACCTCCACCTACTGCAACCTTCAATGCTAGTGTTTTTCAATGGACTATCTTTGACGAGTATCAGGTATAAATACCCTCTGTCCTGAAATAAATCATTTTATATTCGGTGGAACACACATGTACACAGTATAAATACTTTTATATTATACTACTTTCTATTAAATAAATACATAATTAACAAAGAAAGTAACATTATTTTTATCTGAAACATATAAATAGAAATATTATGTACAAATTTCGATATTTTCATTATTGTTGGCAGGAAGACTATGCTCAACAACAACGCGAGAAAGAAAAGGAGAAAAGAGCGCCATTAACTCAACCAAAGAAGGAGGATGTGAAGAAGAAAGCACAAATGGAATCTTTAGCAATGACAAACAGAATGCTACAAGCAGCAAAAACATTGGAACGAATGGTGAATCAAAACATTTTCGACGACATATCTCAAGGTAGACGCTCTTTTGTGACTCCTTCTTCAATGAAACTTTGTATAGTATCTCGAGTACATATTTTTGTTTTCCTCCAATTGTTATTTAGATTATAGATATTGGGACGATCCAAGCGATGAATTCAAAGATGGCGAAGGCTCTTTATTACCTTTGTGGAAATTTTCTTACGAAAAGACTAAGAAACACGATGTCACGGATGTGTGCTTCAACAGCAGATATTACGATCTCTTTGCAGTCGCTTTTGGAACACGTTAGTAGAATACATATCGTATTTTCCTCGCAATGTTCATAAATTGTAAATGAAAACTTATATATTCCAGTGTCATTTAATAGTGCTATAACAAATGGCACGGTATGCTTATTCAGCTTGAAGAACCCATCGTATCCGGAATGGATCTGTTCAACAGAAACTCCCGTGATGTGCCTAGATTTCAATGCTCAACATCCATACCTTTTAGTTATCGGTGTGTAAAATAATATCATGTATGAAACATTTATTTTATCCGTCACATGTATTTATTAAATGATATAAATGATGATTTCACTAAAAATCTTTTTTCAAGGAGATATTTAAGTCAAATAAAATTTGCGATCTGCAAGTTTCTGCAAAAACTTGTTATATTATTATGATACTGTGTTGCTATATATATGCTAACATTAATTAATTAACATTAATTAACATTAAGGTACCATGGATGGAGCGGTAGCGGTTTATAACATAATGTTACCACCGTCTACGCCACAATATAAGAGCAATGACGTTGTGCAAAAGCATGGAGGGTTAGTATGGGAGGTCTGTTGAATCTTTTAGCTCCAACATTTCAACATACAATTGAGAAATATCTCTGTGAAAACTTTCAATTAGAAAAAAATATATACTGATTATATATAGATTCGCTGGGCGCCTGATACAGAAGAGGGAAACCTGGCGTTCTTCAGCGTCAGTATCGACGGCAAAATAAATCACTGGGTGTTAAACCAGAACGATCTCGGTCTCACTACCGTTATGACGTTGTTCCTGGACCGGCCGCCTATTCCGGGACCGGACGGCACGATGATTACGCTCAAAGGTAATGCCAAGCAAATAATAATAAAAGAGAAGCAGGAAATTTCCTTAAACGTGACGATTATATGGCCTTTGAATTCAGGATGCGGAACGTGCATTGCATTTCATCCCGCCGATCAGAATGTTTTCCTGGTAGGCACGGAAGAAGGTACCATGTACAAATGCAATACGGCGTACAGCAGTATTTACATGAGAACGTATCACGAGGCGCACACTATGCCGGTATATCGAATAGTCTTCAACAAGTTCAATTCCAGTATCTTTGCCAGCTGCTCGGGCGATTGGCGAATCAAAATCTGGGAAGATGAAAGACCGTAAGTTAAATCTTCAATATCCGCATATAAATTTAATTATATTATTATAGCGATAGATTATATTACATTATATTAATGTGTGTGTGTGCATGTATATATATAGGGAACCTTTATTCATGTTTGATCTGGGTGTTCCGATTGGAGACGTTCAATGGGCCCCATACAGTTCAACAGTGCTCGCCTGTGTATCAAACGATGGCAAAGTTACGGTGTTTGATTTAAATGTTAACAAGTACAGACCAATCTGCAATCAGCAAATTGTCAGTAAACGAAAGAGCAAATTAACCCGATTAGCTTTTAATAACGCATTACCGTTTATAATAGTCGGCGATGATAAGTAAGTAATACTTTCCAACTTTTGCATATTATCTATTTAAATTAA